AGGCTATCGCAAAGGAGGATGTTTACATACCCAGAAAACGATTAAAGGCTGTCGATCCAGGGAATTCAACCTCACACTTTAGCAGAAGGATGGGACCATGGGATGGGCCATATAGGAATGAGGATGATTTGTCTTACGAGGAAATTGACGATGAGTTATATGATTTGCTCAGAAGAATGTTAATTAAAGATCCTGCCGAGCGGATCAAACTTCGAGAGGTCAAACGACATCCATGGACGATCAAAGGCATCGAGAACATCATTGGATGGCTTGACGATACGGATCCATCACGCAAGACCGCAGGACGTAGAATAGAAGTTGACAAGAGCGAATTGGAACGGGCTGTTGTACCTATTACCTTTTTAGAGCGAGCTCGATCGACTTTCAAGAAGACTATAGGCAAGGTCACAAGTGTGATGAGAAATGATAAGGGTGAAGGGTCTCGCAAGAGAGCTACAAGCAATGCTACAAACATAAGTTCAGGTACCGAAAATCATACCCACGCTCCGCCATATACTCCTATTTTGCGCGAGATAGTTCGTCGAGCCAGTCTTCGTGGAGATGAATACTTCTCCTCGTTCGGTGATTCTCACCATGATCATCACAAAGAATCAACGGAACACCCTTTGGCCCAAAGTCAAACGGCTAGCCCTGACTCGCTGCAATGCGATCCATTCCAACAGGACTTTTCCCTTTCTTCCCTGGTAGGAAACACTCCCAAACGTTCTGGATCCTCTTTGGCATCATCAAATTTTGATGCGAGACCAGGTCCACCGGAACGCGCTATCTCGGGGACGCCGTCGATTGCGACGGTCGTTCATAGAGGCCATTCATATTCGAGATCTGTAAATCACGCATTTTCCGGAAGCCCCACTACAGAAGAATGTCCAAGAACGCCAGGTCCTTTCACAGATCATATGGGACAAATCTTTGGTGGACATTTATGGAATCCTGGAGGTCGAGAATCCTTGTCGGAGATTGATGAAAGTGCATCATCGAGGCCTAGATCTGTCGATAGAAGCCTTTTTAAAGCCGAAGACAAACATGCATCCGCCATCGTTGGAATGAGTACTGCTGTTGCCCCTGGACTTTTTAAACATCCCCGTCCAACATATTCCTCCGAGAATAGCCCGATTGACGCTTATTTCGACAGGCCAATACCCTCACCCTTGTATTTTCAACCTCACATTTTCGACAAGCATCAGACGGTATCATCAGCATCGACGCCTAATGTTATGAGTACCCATTATGCTGCATCAATCCTTGACGATAGACCTGCCACAGCTAATCGAACCCCGGAATGGAAAACACCTGCTCCACGAACATATGGTGCGAGTACACCTGAATCATTTCAAAGAGCTCAAGAACAACTAGATCGAAGGAGGAAGATGGAAGCGGATGCAAACGCCAAGCGCCTCGAATTTCACAGCTCGAAACTCAAGTTAGAAATTGCTCCATTGAAAAATTGTCCCCCATCACCTGACGATGAGATCTTTGCTCAAAAACAAGACGAAGCTGCCACACGTGCTCGGTCATATAGCTCAGTTACCTCGACAAGTATCATATCACCTGGTGACATGAATTTCCCGTCTGATGTTAACTCACCTGTTTCCTCGTTAGCTCTTGGTTCGAATGAACAATTTTTCCCATCGGTTCCTTCATTGCCTGCTTTAGTATCAGGCTCATCATCTGTATCCGCTGATCCAGAAGGTGATATGCTTCAAGATCCTGGTAGTTGTCCTTCGCAAACCATATACGATACCTCCGAAACAGTCACGCCACCTGTAATTTCCAAACAATCTTCTGAATCCGAAACCTCTACAGTTTCCGATGATCATGTTGTTATCCATCCCGCTGTGAGCCATCCTTATGCAGACACTGATGAAGAGGGATACAACGGTGATGGTGATAACAGCATGAACGCGGACATGAATGACTCAGATAGTGACGAAGGCCTCACGATGATGAGAAAGAAGCCAAAGATGAAGCTGGCAGCAGTGGGTAGCCATGGTCGAAGAGGTACAAATGCAAGTGTTGAAAGCACTGATACTGCCAAGAAAATATCGATGGAGGGCTGATATTTTTTGTCATGTTGTGTGGCAATTCTATAGTCTTGGATGGAGGAAACCTAAGCTTTACCGCGATGCGTTCTTAACATCTTCTATTTTTTCCCATGGAGATTAAAAAATTATTGTGAGGTTGGCTTGGGAATTGGAACGTGATTCGTCAGGAAGAATCAGCATGCACTATATTTTGATCCCGAAGAGCGACTGCTTTTAGCTCAAGACTTGACGAGGTATGGAGCAAATAATCGAAATGTGTGCGCACAGCTTGTTGCGAAATTACCATTGTTTCGGGTGAAGGATTGTAGGCTATGATGGATTATGTTATTATGATTTCGAGTTCTCTTGTTTCCCATTCGAGGGGGGGTTTATTTGCCCAATGGAGCTTTACGTTCGCAAGATCGATTAAAAGGAGATTTTATGAATGGATGGACTGATGGATGGATGGGATCTGAGCAAAGTTGTGGTTTTAGTTTTTCTTATGATGCTGGCGGATATTTTTAAAGCAGTGCATATGCAAAGGGATGGGAAACTTTTTTTGTACCTTTTATTGAAAGAGGAGTTGCGGGCGTGGAAACATTATTGTGGTTTGATGCATTTAAGGGAGTGTGGATGGAATGTAACTTTGAAGAGAAGTGTGGATTAGATCCATTGGGATGGAGTGAGAAATGGAAGGTACTCGGATATCGGACAGAGGAGAGGATGGGCAAATATGGAGAAGGTTGTGAATACTACTTCTTAAGCTGAGAATCTGCTTAATATATATAATCATGGACATTGGGTTGGGATAGAGGAGGGAGATGCTAGGATGCGAGGAGGGTTAGTAGGACAGGATGAGATGAGATGCCTAGAGATGAGATGAGAAGAGACGAAATGATATGAATAAGATGAATATACGAGATGAGATGACTTTTGTTTGTATTTGTACAGTATTGTAGTCTAGTATATGATGTATGAATACGAAAGACTAGAAATCCAAAACTTTTTTTATTGGTGTGGGTATGTGATATTGCATTCCCATTTCAACACTATGTTTAGTTCTTATCCTTTGTTCCAATAGAGAAATTCCAAAGACTCTTATAACTACCTAGTATTCTTGAGTGTATCATGAATCGGTTATGGCTTCCAACGCATTTGTAATCTAATCGTACCTTTTCGACAAGCGGAGCAACTCTTACAGCAAGCTACTATGAATATCCGTATGTAGTATATTTATTTAAATATAATAGTTATATATATCAATAATTGATTTAAATAGGAATAGTGTAAATTAAATACATTAAAATCTATATATATATATCTATTGAACTCGATACATAATCTTTGGGAATAATTAAAGTTTTTATTTCCCAGGATTGCGTATTAAGTTTAGTGCGAGCCTCTGCATGAACATTCATAGTAGGTTGCGGTCTGAGTCTCTAAAGAGACGAGGAAACCTCTGAATGCCTCCAACGCCCCTGTCCTATCCTATATTGGGATTGAAAGCCCCTGTCATCATCTAGCATCAACTCGTGAAACCTTTTGGAGTTTCTTTTCGGCAAAAGCTACAGCGCGGGTACTTCAAACTCATATTGTATTCTCTATCATACAGGCTGGTAGTTCCTGCCCCCCTTACTTCATGTTTCTTTCCTACGTTGCGAAATTATGAGTTGGGATTTAATAATTGGGAGACAGGATTTGGTGGGTTTGTGGGTTTGGGGGTGGGAACGGAAAATAATGGGAATCGGTATGTATAGAGAGAGAGGTTTGATATATTGTTGATGAGTAAGCATATTGGGTAAAAGGGACAGCTAGAATCTCATTTTGTTGATGTTGAGCGACACCTACAGGAATTTAGGATTTTGTTCTGTATGGAGTTGTGAGTGAATTTGTGTATGTACTGTACTGGCTTTTTCGTGGTTTCAACTTCGACTTTGATCTTTGAAAATGATAAAATCTTGGGTTTAATTTAATGATTAATCTTTTTTTTTTTTTTTTTTTTTAAAAAATCAATAAAAAATCGATAGCTCTGGAAAGGAGAGTCTTGAGGTATTGTGATAGAGAGTCTCATCGAAGTTGTCGATGTTTTGGTTCTTTACTTCTGGAATCTGTATTGGAAAGGAGGAGAAGTAGGATCATAAAAGATGGACTAGATACCTTGTATAATATTCTCCAATTAGATTAGATTGTGTTAAGCTATAAGAGAGAAAGCGTAGGCAGGGGGTAATGATAGTATTAACTAGGAAGTAAATTCTGGGGAAGGAGCTATCAGTGGAGTGGATATACGGACTGACGAAACGCTTTAGGGCTTCTTATCGTTCAATGTTATGTTTTATAAGGGATTCATTGCTTATTGTTCAACTTTTTGATTTATGCTTGTATTGTGCTTTCTTTAATGAATTTCTAGTATAATTCTTAAGAGATACCCATTACTCAGCCAACTTGGGTTTATGCCTTGAGTAGAGAGAGGCCCCTCCTGATTATGAAGTTTTAGGTAAAGAAGCAGCTTTGCGTCCAACGACACACTGGAACGGTGTGTCTACAACAAATCCATTTGCACTTTCTCTCTCCAAGTCATCAACAAATTCCATCCCGATACCGGAACCTTTCGTGTTGTAACTATCGATCTTTGCTATGAAGTCTGCAGTGGCTGCCATAGAGCTCTATGACCAAAGAGGACGAAGGTGAATAGGCCAAGCATAATCAGTACGGGACACGTCTGTAAGGCCTTCTCTTTCGAAAAGATATTTGAGACCCTCAACCCAACTAATTCAAATTAGCATCTGGGGATCGCCATCCATTTCCTAATCCGGGGAAATTTCTCACCCATACTGGCTGTCTGGCTTGGGTTTATGGAGGGTGTTCGCAAGTCACTCTGATGCTGTAGTTTCTGCACCTTCGTGTGTCACGACGACATTTGCCGATAGAGGCAGAGGCTCCAGCCATTGTAGATAGCGGCTAGGCTCTACAGATATATATGTTAGATATGACTTGACGTATATTCTAAAATCATTTCAACTGGCTGACTAGGGATAGCAGCTTTTGCAGCAACGGCTTCGCATCAGGATCGTTGACTATACATAGCCAAAACTGAGCGTTGATAATGTCATACTGCCCCAGAAACTCGGCTGGATAGTCTTCAAATCCATCGTGAACATACAGGTGTACATTCTTTGGTCGGAATCCCAGTGTAGGGTATTGGGCATCAGAAATATCAAATCCGTCGATGCGTACAGTCTCGGGGAGCTTGCTGGCTAGATCGCAGGCCCAAATCCTTGATGCCAATTTTGTTAGTAGACATAGCTCAAGGGTTGCACAGCTTGGCTACTTACCCAGTACCGGTAGCCACATCTGCGTTTCGCAAATTTGTCTGATTGGTCGGGATACTTGGGTGCACGAGGTATCCACAGACTTCTTTGATAAAAAAGTGGTTGTAATTCAAGCTACAGGTATCTATTTAGCTTCATCAACTCGTGCGTCACCCAAGAGGGAATCTCACCGCATGGAAGGTTTGTAATCCCTTTTGAATATATATTGCCGTTGCTCTGCTTTCACGGACGTCTTTGCGTCGGCGTAAAAATACTCAACCAGGTAACTGAAGGAAAAAGAAGAAATGGGACTGCTACAAAGCTTCTCAGGGGGAGACCTATGATATAAGGAAAACCAATCGTCAGATAAGGTCATATCAGGCTGAACTCATTTGCGGAGTAGTATATGTGTGTAGCCAGGGAAGCAACATACGGAAAATGTAACCCTCCACCCCCTCACGGACTAATCGTTACCGAGAATTAATTGCACACCCGCATTCTGATATACCTACTTCTTTAGAGTATCATCGGTGACAAACCTACATCCTACATCCATGAAGGAGATTCTGCATTGATGACACAAATCGAGCGAGCTAAATATTGGAAAATGATCACCATGATTTACACCTTGCGATGAACATAAAACTTTCGATGCTGATTTTGTTAGAGATATTAATTCGGCGTTGAATCTCACAACATCAAGATCTGGCAAGCTTCACTTCTTGAGTCGGAAAAGTTTACTGATTTGCTGATTTGAAAGAGTTCCAAGGTTACTCTTATGAAAGATTGCATGTCAAAATTAAATCTGCACTGTGTTACACAGTCTTTCTCTGATCTAGAGTTAACTTTTGAATATTTCAATGAAAGTTCTACTGGTGGTAAACAACTTGAGAGGACTGTATTCGTCGAAGTTATGCTCACCACCATCGACAAAATGGTAGTCATAGATATCATACCAAGCAAGATTCGAGGCAAGTCAACCTGAAACATAGATACTCTCTTCCTTCAAACTTCCTCTGAAGCTTACCCATGCGGCTTCTAGCACTATTGCCTTTCGAAACCATTCGAGCAGCCGACAGAGTGTATCGTGATTTGTGAAGTCAAATTGAAGATATGTGCAAAGAAGCATTCACAAAGCACAAGCAACACCCAACTGACCACCATAAACATGACAATCAAGGTTAAGTCTCTAGGCATATATGACCGGCGATCATCTATTAGATACTCTGATCTCTGGGACTATGCCAGAATCTGCCGAGAAAAACGAAAAGGTCATGTCGGAAGAATCCTTACTCGGCAATATATATTATTTTTCCTTTTTTCCGGACACGGAACCTACTGGAGAGGAGGAAAGAAGGCAATGGATTTGAACCCGGGATACAAGTGGGCGAGTGAGCAGTAGGAAATGCACCAGAGCTTGCGACTAACGGGAGAACTTCTGATCCATGGACGATGCACCGGGTGGACAAGATCATGAGTTCAATGCATGGGGACGTCGAGTCGAAATACTAAGTGGAAAGTATATGTTCTTGAGTTGCACTTCCATGAGCCTCGAGATAATGACAGAAAATTCTTGGCCTCTTGATAGAAGAAGGGAATGAGTCAGATCTGTGCCTCCAGACTTAGGAGGTAAAGTGGCTTATTACTCATACTCATATGGGACCCTACGACCGCGTCTAGCTCTCAGCCCACATTGGTGGGCCTAACTGATTCCTCCTTGATAAAACAAAATACAATGGACGTCCTCCAACAAATAATAAGGTGGTGTGGTGTAATGGTAGCACGTGGTGTTGTGGTTTCTCCTCTTAGGGTCTTCACGAAGTCGAGTCGTTACTGACTCATACATCCCGCTTCAATCTGGGTTCGATTCCCAGCACCGCCATTTCATTCTCTTTTTGGTCTTTTTATCATGCTTTAAGGTTGTCGTGAAAATTTTGGATAGAATTAATTTTGGTCACGTGAATCGATTTTTTTTTCAGTGGGGTGAAGAATTTTGGTGGGGGTTCCAAACAATTGTTAGGTAATTTTGAGAAAAGGATCATCCACTTGATTCGGTACTAAGGAGAAAAGGGTAGAAAACTAGAATTAACACGGAATAGAGGGCGAAAATTGGCGCAGTTCATGAACTACAAATAAACTTTCAATGGTGATGATTAGGGTCGAATATTCCAAGAAAGGTATGCTCGTTGCTCACTGATCCATGTAGCTTACCGACTTCTTAGCAAGACTAGACAAAGAGCTTTGGATATGGACAAGCCCAAGAACATTCGTCGTGTATTTCACACCACTTTCATTCAGAATGTGAATACGTCCTCAAATAGACGCGCTGACTTTGGCAGCTGGTCCCGAACCGAAATTCGTGAACTTGGAGTCAGTCATCATTCGTGTCCCTCCATACTTGCCGTCGGTCCAAAATGATCAGGTATTGATTGTCATTCATGACTACTACCAACGGGCCGAAAGATCAGTGAGCGCTGAGGAAGAAAGAGAGAAAGATGCAAGACAAAAAAACGAAAGACAGCATGAGTGGTGGGGCTGGCCAAGTATAGCTCCACTAACTAAATGGAGCTGGAGCTGGAGCTTGAGCTTGGGCTAGGGCTACGACTCTAGGAGACCCAGAAAATGTATTGTCGATATTATGACATAACTTTAAGACACTTGAGTGTTCCCAGATTGTTCATTGATTGAATCTTGGATGAAGGTACAGCTCTTATGATGTATGATCTAAAAGGTCAGATCAATTCATGAACAGAAAGGAGGTCAAACAAATTCTAGAATCGGAAGTGACGTAAGACTGGCGGAGGGACAGAGTGTTTTGAGTACTCGATTGAAATTTTTGCTCGAGCTCAGTTGCGCTGGCAAAATAAAAAAGGGTTTGCATTGTCTCCACTGCCTACCCTGATTGAAATTTTCGCGACCGAGCGAACGGTAAAACATTGCAATGCGGACGATATGGAAATTTGAAATGCCACATCACTTTGCGCTCCTTTGCGCTCCATCAATCGTTTTGAAGTTTGAACAATGAATAGACGGTGTATCGAAATCTCAAAGTAAGAATTTAGCAATCAGACTCTGATGCGGATCAGACTTGTTTAGCATTCAATTGTATTCAATGTCGAAAAGACAGAAAATATTGTAGGACAATAATAACTTTGCGCTTTGGAAAGTTTTGAGTACAGGCATAGACAAAGTGAAAAGGTAGGATATCCTATTTGGTGGGACCGTGGGAGCGTAGGATCGAGATCCTATTTTGGCGGCGGGGTTATGATATTGTTGAAGACTGAAGTTGTGAAATTGTGAATTGTGAATTGTGAATTGTAATTTGTATCCTGTAAATTCGCATCGCCCTACTTCCATACATGGGTTATGAAGATCACGTTCGGACTACCACCCGAGCTGAGATGTCTCGGGGACCCTTTCCTTCGGTTCCTTGCCGCAACGTTATCGTTATCTGGATGTGGACGGAGAAATGGATCTTGGATAGATATCATTTCACTCGATCTGATGAGGCTGTGTCGCTGTGCTCTTTCTCTGGAAGGGGTGTTTAGTATCGTGGGAAAATGATTGGAAACTGGAGGGGCAGGGAAAAAGCTTCTAAGTTCTAGCTTCCTACCATCAATCCTCCGAATTGCAATTCCAGAGAAATTGAATGGATACTGTAGTACGAAGTAGGTGAAAGCCGATAGGAAAAATCATGTTGAACTGATCCTTGCCCACCTGAAGGATTTGGACCAAGATGGATGAATGGTTCGTTCATTTACCGAAAGAAGTGAAATTAAGTTTTTTTTTAAGGTTTTACCAGCCACGGGAATGAAGAGTGGTGGAAGAGTGGTGGAAGAGTCGATGGCCAAACGACAACAGGATTTCCCTAGGCATGTATACAAATCGAATGATCAAGTATCAAGTATTAAGGATTCAATAGCGCGAAAACTTTGTGATATCTACTAGGTAGTCAACTTCATGGGCCATGACCCAAAGCACCGAAAGCATCTACTACCTGCTAGATAGGTCATGAGAGGTCCAAGAGGTTTGTGTGATGGCATTAGTTGATTTGGAGGAAATCAAGGAGGCTGAGAGGAAATGAAGCTGCGGATAATACCTAGGAATGAAATCAATTCCTAGCCAGGTAATGGAGAAATTGATTTCATAACACAGATACCTACCTACTCCGTGTACCTATCCTTTGTGTTCTCTGGGAATCCCGTATTCTCTATTTCCTCGCCGAACATTTCCTATTCGATTTTACCTACATGAATAAACCAACCTCCTAGAAGCTTCCATCGATATCGACATCAACAGTGAACATCATTCTCCTCGACTTCCCTTCAGCTCAACATGGACATTCGAACCACTTAATTCAATGAGCCAGGATTTATCCTTGATTTCGTGGGGAACTTGTATTCTTTTCGTTGGTCAAAGCCGGTATTATATTGGTCTAACAATATTGAGTCGCCGTGACCTTCCTTTCCTTGATTTAGTGGTGTCTCGAGTTTCGACTTTGTAGTAATTGCAAAAGAGAGGAAGTGCAGATCATCCCCGGTGGGTCTCCCAGCCTCCCTGTGAACCCTGAAATAAGATTTGGCCTGGGTCGTGAAGCTTGGATATTATTAATGAAAAGGTGGAAATTTGGCAAGGAAGATCTTACTTTCGATGGTAGATAGACGTCACGACTCACGACTCACGATATTATTGAAAAGTGTTCACAAACAATTGAGTTTGTTTTCTTGATCTGCTTGATTTGTTTATGAACCCGAATTGAACCCCAATGACAAATTGATGGAATACGCCCGTAAGAAGAGAGAAATGTACAGAACAGAGTATTACCAAGTAAGAGAAACACATTCCCACTTTTCTCTGCCAGCGAAGCATGAAAGCACTGTGAGGAAACTTGGTTTTACTAGGTAGAGCGTCACAATGATTTACACCCTTTTTGATCCGGCGTACGTACATCGAGGGAAAAGAGCAGCATCTGTGTAACAAAGACTTGTAACATTATTAGCATAAGGGTGCAAAGATGTAGATGTACCTAATTAGAATATGGGCAGATGATTGAAAAAGCATGAAATTAAACATGGGAGATCTGGGGACAGAGGGTGAAGTAGGCCGCATTGGTATGGTATGGTATGCTATGGTATGGTATGCTATGGTATGGTATGATATGATATGGTATGGGCCGTATGGCATACATTTGATTGTCCATGCAGTCCACGGGGTATCACCAATATCACCAATGTCACCGATATCATCAATATCCATTCAGCCACACTGTCCGTGATGTCAGAAAGAACGAAATGAATACGCTACGCCACGCCACGCCACGCCACATCTGTTTTCGACCGTACTTGCATGCCTCTCCCAGGGCTACCTCTCAAAACCAACCTTGGATTTTCTCTTTCCCTCCTCATCCTCGTCGATAAATGCGGAGAAATCTACCAACGATTTCTTGGAACTGGACATGTACCCAATGCCCATGCATCAGTATCTGCAAGCGAGTAAAAGTTGGACAACATCTTTCCCCAAAATTCCGTCTCGGTGTGCATATAAGGAAAATCATATTTCCAGCCATCTTATATAGAAGTCGTGGCTGGTATCCTCTACTTCTGACGATCCTACTGGTGCTCTACCATGATGCATCAACTAGTACAATCCAAACGGTAACGTACATTGGAGCGTTCACAAATCGGTGAGAGTTTCCAAGCTTTGGGGAAAAGATATGGCCAGCGTAGACGGACGTGTTGGCAAAATGACCCTCACAAAGTATAATCTCCCGTTATTCACAGTGGAAGATGCAGATGAAAAGAGACCCGACACGGAGGTGAGCAGATGGTTCCCAAAAGGGTAGTAAATGTGTGAATTTGCATTTGTAGATATCCAATCGTCGGTATAACCTTACTTGAGTTGAGTTGAGTTGCAATGATGGAAATTAGATGGTTCCTTTAGTTTTGATATATCCAAACCGTCTGCTCTGTACCCAGGGATCTTGTCAAAGCGAATCAATTTCTATTTACTTATCCAGATAGATCTAGCTATAAATGGGCTAGATTGACCTCATTAACCCAATTGAGAATTCGTCAATTGGTTGGTTGAGACTCGAGAGAGCTAAAAATCGTGCCCAGCTTCTAATAAGAGACTGATGGCAAATTGGGTACCTTACCTTAGCTTCACTGTCATGGATCTGGATTTCACTCTCGTCACTCTTTCCCATCTAAGCTAATTTCTCAACCTAAGCAAGAAAGGAAAAAAAATAAAAAAGGAAAAATAAAATAAAATAAAATAGAAAAATCAAGCTTCACTCAATCACCATAGTCAAGGCTCAATATTCACTCTGACTTCACTTTGGCTTTTCATGGTCCTTCCTCGTTTGTTTAAATTTATAATAAGATTCACTTCCACCCCCCAACTTACTTTCACACCAGTTCACTTTTCTATAAACAAAGAAAAAACCTTCTTCCCTCTTCCCATCCACCTTCGTCAGACTTTTCCACATCCATCTTCAGAGTACAAGATAAATAACTTCTAATCACCATCTCCATCCATCAAATCTTTTCGAAAGTCCAACTCTCTTCAATCTCAAAGATTCTATAGTACCAAGTACCATTTACAAAGTATACTTCTTCCACCCACAATAATCAATATGAAGTCCTCAGTTATCCTCGCCATCAGCGCTTTCGCAGCTGCTTCCGTCGCTCAATCCCTCACCGATCTTCCATCATGTGGTGTAAGTATTTAATTTTATTTATCATATGTTTATGTCGTCGCCATCAAATTGCATGCGACTTGATCGCGACTTTCTTCTCTTCTATATTCAATGACTAATTTATCTCTATAGCAAACCTGCATCAGCAACATGCTCGCTCAAGCTCAAGCTCTTGGATGCTCTTCCCCTGATGCCGCCTGTCTTTGCACCAAGCCAGACTTTGCCTACGGTATCCGTGATTGCTCTAATGCCGCATGTGGTACTGAAACTGCTGCTTCTGTTATCGCCTACGGTCAAAGCTACTGCGCAGGTATGATATCCATGATTCCATCTTTCAATTCGATCTTGTCCTAACACTCGATAGCTGTCTCCTCCACTGGTTCCGTCGAGTCATCTACCTTGGCTACTTCCACCGCCTCTGCTTCTGGCAGTGGTTCAGCTGAGTCTTCTGTGAGTTTTATTCATCCTTTCTTTCTATAGCATGACGTCAATTTCTATTTGTGCGGGGTTTTGGTGGTTACGCCCTGAAGATCTCCAACGACAAAGAAAATTGCGCGTTCAGCAATAGATTGATTTCAATAATGATGTCATTGTCAAGTGAATTTGAATATTTACTAACAAAATTCAATAGGCTGCTGCCAGCTCTTCCGCCAGTTCTTCCGCCAGCTCTTCCGCCATCACCACCTCGGCTCTCTTCGCAACTGTTACCTCTGGATCTGAGACCATCACAACCACCATTGGTTCTACTACAATTTACGGTGCCGGCGGTATTGCTGTTGTATCCTCTACTCCAATCTCTACCGAAGCTGTCGTTTCCACCATTACCAGTGATGACTCTACCTTCGAGTCTACTGTTGGATCTTCCACCATTTACAGCACCCCAAGCCCAACTGACAGCG